ATTTATGATTAAATTACTTTTTCTTGCATTAATTTTCACTTAATGCAAATATTCATTTTTGCAATAGTTCACATTAAATAGGCATACATATGTTTAAATCTACAAACCTTTAAGCCAAAAATGTGTGAGACATGGGAAAAAGGTTAAACGGTAAAATATAACAAATAATTGTCGAAATTATTCCAGTATTAACTAAATACACTTCATACATGAAGCATTGTATTTTTAATTGTTATTTCTCATTTAAAAAATTATTAAATACAAAACAAATAAAACATTGACGTTACATCATTTCCAAAGTTTCATTCCCTATGTAAAAACTTTATTCATTCCAGACTAAAATCCATATGCAGTATGAGGGTTAATTGTGAGACAGACTGATAATTAGACTGATTTTTTTATGTTTGTGCATGCCACACTGCAAGGCAAATTGCATTTCAAGAGCCTTTCTGGTTTTTAGTGTAACTTCTATTCATTGTATACTCACACAGGAAGGGGAAAAGCATGTGAACGACTTCTTTTGACTTTCTCTTTGTGTGCATGTGTATATGTGTGTGTGTGTGTGTGTGTGTGTGTGTCTGTGGCACAGCGACAAAGCAGGCAGAAATTATATTTAGCCACACAGCATGTCACCATCACCGCACCTAAACTGCTAGCATATGCTATGAGTGCATGTCCGCATTAGCAGGCTGGCAGACAACAAAAAAAAGCACCCACAATTAGTACGCAAAGCCTATCACAAATTTACATTTCCCCAGAGAAGGGCTTTCGAAATCTGTTAGATGTTTAGCAACAAACAGATTTGGTTGAAAATGCCTGCAAGATGCCAGCCAAAAGTAAGCAACTTATTTAAAATGCACGCCAGTTTCACATATTACTAACTGCAGAAAAAAAAAAACAGGGTGGTATTACTGGCTACAAGACTCACTATGGATGTGTTATAATCATGAAATATCCGAAACACAAGGTGAGAACTTTGCCTGCCTCTTAAGGCTGTGTGTTAGGAAAGGAGCAGCAGATGTGTCGATGTGAAACAACTCATGAATTTGACACTCAAATAGCGCTGCTGATAACTATCCAGCCATTTAACACAGTTGCACCTACACTTTGACACATCACTAAGAAATGTTGACTGATAAAGAGAATTAGGTTAGTTTTGGAGTAGAACCGCATGTCGCTGTGGTTAGCTCACCACTGTGGCCCACAAAATGATTTAAAAAAGGGGGGTTGATTGCTAGCTAACACTAGCTCTTCATCATTTAAATCATAGGTCTGAAACTCAAGTCCTGGAGGTCCGCAGCTTTGTACAGTTTTGCTCCAACCCTATCAAACACAGCTGATCCAAATAACTGAGGTGTTTAGAAGAGTCATGAACACCTTAATTCGTTGGATCTGCTGTGTTTGATCAGGGTTGGAGCAAAACTGTGCAGAGCTACGACCTAAGATTTTAATTATTTTTCAATTCAAATTTAGTCAATGGAAATTCTCGCACCGTACAACCACACATCCATAAAGGTGTTAGGTGCAAGAACTTCCATTGACCAATTTTCCATTGAAGGAATGCAGCGTTAGTGGTCAAGATTTTTGCTTGCCCTGCCAAAATGTTCACTAGCCCAACCAAAAAAAGAAGTTATTTCTTATTATTATTTCTTAGCCAGATATTTTAAATATTGTGTCAAAAGCCAAGCATAATTGTATGCATACACTTTTTATTCAGCACAAATTGAAATAGAACCAACAATTCTAAAACAATTATAATTGTGAGGAAACTAAATTTGGAAATAAATTAAATTAATTAATTAATGAATAAATAAATAAATAAATACATATACAAAAAAATTGCACTTAAACTTAGACACCCACAGACATTGCCAACAAATATAAAGAGGTAAAGAGGCTATGAGAGGTCAGACTTTCTCATATATAGCCTCATTTCAGTTGTCATGTTTTGTAAAAATTTATCTGTCGAATGAATCATTCTATTAAAAAATCATTGGCCAGAATTATGCATTATAGGCTTAAAGGGGACCTATGGTGAAAAATCTACCTTTCAAGCTGTTTAGACAGACATGTGTGTAGGTATAGTGCAGGGATGTCCAACTCAATTCCCGGAGGGCCGCAGCCCTGCACAGTTTAGTTCCAACCCTGCACCAACACACTTACCTGTAGGTTTCAAACAAGCCTAAAGGACTTAATTAGTAAGATCAGGTGTGTCCAATTAGAGTTGGAACTAAACTGTGCAGGGCTGCGGCCCTCCAGGAATTGAGTTTGACATCCCTGGTATAGTGTATAGACCGTCATATTGGGGGGATATAAACACAGCCACACACCCTTGCTCTATTTTGGGATGTAGGGCTTATTGGGCTCAACACAAGAGCCTTCATTGTCAACAGAGATTTTACATTTAGTGGCCATTTGCGCTGAACACGTCGTGAATGAAACGTATCGTTTAAAACCTATCAAGATCCAGGCCATTAAAAACAGCTGATCCACCGAATCTTTCATCACTCTCTCCGAAAACAATCGGATGATCTCGGCTGACGGATCAACATTCACCACATGATTGCTCTCATCAGCGCCATTGTTTGTAACTTTAGGTGGGTTTGCAAACCTGTGTACTTTTCATTGCTTCTTCCTTAAACTTCAGCTGTTTGCCTTTCCTGCGATCACAGAAGCTCCCTGTCATCTCAAGTAGGTGCAGCTGGAAAGTGTGAGCCCATTGGAATAAAAAAAAAAGAGTTATAATAAAATTAGTATTCAATAAGTTCCTCATAAGTCTATGTGAAAAATAGTTTGATTTGCTTTGATAAAAACTGGTAAAAAAGCACTGGTATTTTCTTTTAGAAAACTAGTTTATCATCAAGTTCTACATCACAGTACAGCTGAATTTGTTTGCACAAACACGCATGCTAACAATGGTCAGAGTAGCACCACATTGTAGGCTTGGTCTCATAGCTGTGGTTTGAGCGAACGTCCACAATTCACCGCCTCCCCACCAAGACCACGCCCTTCTTCTGCTACATTCAACAAACACACAAGGTTTCATTGATGCATAGCGTGGCCTAAGTCTTTTGTTTTAACTTTGTAGTAAATGCACATGCACCTTGCTGTCACACTCTGAGCCCAGATTCCCAGCTCATAAAAAGGCAGAAAAGATAAAAGAAATGGACGAACAGGATGTGGTTAGCCTACATCAAAACTCACTCACTCTGTTAACTTGGAGAAAGGTTCTGATGAAAGAAAAAAAAAAACCACAGTGAGGGAGGGGTTTGCTGAACGAATCGCGCACAGCGCAAGACCTCAAGGTCTGCCCAAACCGTGATGCTACTGTGGAGATTTTGAGCATGCATTTAAAATTATTTATTTTGCTACACTTGTAAATAGGTCTCAATTTTGCTTAACCTATAGAAAAGGTGTAGTTAGATAAACTATTATAGAAAACTGGAACTAAAATGATTGTTACTTAAAGGAATAGTTCACCCAGAAATAAAAACAAATCTGTCATAATTTTTTCAGTGTCCACTTTTACCAAACCTTTACGAGTTTCATCTTTCTGCTGAACACAAAAAAAAGGTTTTTTTAAGAATGAATAAAAAAATAAAACAAAAACTTAAAACAAAAATAACTGACAAATAGCAAGAAATCAAATTAAATAAATAAATCAAATCAAATCAAAATCAAATTGAATTAAAAAAAAAAAAAATATATATATATATATATATATATATATATATATATATATATATATATATATATATATATATATATATCAGGGTTCAACGCTAAGGATTTTTTCTACTGGCCCGATCGGGCCAGTGGTTCTGATTTTTACTTGCCCTGCCAAAATTTTCACTGGCCCCACCAAAAAAAAAAAAAAGAAGTTAATAGCTATTTGACTGTGCGTGTGTGTGTGTGTGTGTATATATATATATATATATATATATATATATATATATATATATATATATATATATATATATTGATGGCCCCACAAATCACAATAATATCGGGTTTGCAAAATGACACTTGCATTGACATTGTGTTACTTAATTCATGACTGAAGTCTTGACAAGTGTCCAATTGCTACATAATGATGTAGTTCAGTAGGTTTATGCTGTTAAGAAAATTAATACAGGAGATTCACACAACTAAGTGGAAGGAAATTATGTTTCTAACCTTTCATCCGGAAAGGAAGCTAAGATTAACAAGTGTCAGAACAGAGACCAAATACAATGTGTCAATGACATCAGACGGGAAGTAGGTCCTTACAGTTGGCAGCATAGTGTTTGGTAGCATTAGATCTCTCGGTCTCTCACAAACAATCATTCCTCCATTGGTAACCCACTAAAAGATGGCACGTTAGACAGTGTGGGGGTTCCTGGAACCCCAAGTGGGATGATTTGGTTTTCCACCGTGTCTGAATCACCCCAGTGGTCACACTTATGTCAAATTTTGCACACGCCTCCAACTTTGACAACACTCCATTGTCACTTCATCATCAGGCTGTTGCTGTTAACCTAGCTCGAGCATTTTAAGCATATGCCAATACTAAAACACAGAGAAATTTAATTGCGACAATTGTAAAGACTTTAATGTAACAAGAGTGCGGCTACTCAACTAACTAGCACTACACAACAACAGTCACCACAAGGGGATTTTTCGTTGCTGTTGTTTTGTTACCTCATGTATTCATCTAATGACAGGAACATTTCAGAATTGTGTTCATACAAGAACACCTGTGACCAAATTGGTCTCTAGTAAGCTGGGTAAAGTTCAAGCAGTTTAACACTCATAACTTCATGCTGATTGTATTGATTACAGCTCAGCCAGCAAGACCACCTGCAAAAGAAATAACTGTGCTTTTTTGTTATAGGTTAATCACCTGCTGATGGTATGACTGGGAAGTGCGACTGATATCTGACTAACTTCACGTGTCCCACACAGAAAGAGAGCAGGTGCATCTTGAGTGAAACCAATCAGAAAAGCTCTACCTGTTGAAAATGGAGTCTGCTTTCTCACAAATGAGGTGGGACCATGAGGGAGAGTCTGAAGAAATGTCTCTGCGTGCTTTGGGATTGCGCCGCAAACGGGAATTCATTCCCGAGGACAAGAAAGATGCCATGTACTGGGAGAAACGCCGCAAGAACAATGAAGCGGCAAAGCGCTCGAGGGAGAAACGAAGGGTCAGTGACTACATGTTAGAGACTCGATTGGTTTCTCTGAGTGAGGAAAATGCTCGTCTACGAGCCGAGCTGTTGGCACTGAGGCTTCGGTGTGGAATGCTCAACCCTGGAACCCCCTACTCTTCATCTCAAAGCGCTCTATCTCAGCTTCACGCCTTGGCGCCACAACCTCTGGTTTCCTGCCCAGATAAAGACCTCTCTTGGGGTAGAAGACAAGACAGAGAGACTTCCAATCTGTCAGGGATCCAAAAGTCACCCATCTGTCTAGGTACTCATCCAGGATCAGCATTCCTGCCCACACACCCAATGGCCATAAGAAGAAATCACCCCTATTTACTAGAATTCCCAAGTGTCCATTCTCCTACAGCCACACCTTTACTCTTTCCTCCGCAACTCAGCCCACCAACCACCACATGGGCAGGACGACCCTTGCTTCAGCCTGGGAATCACAGGATCTTGTCAGATGAGGAGGGTGAGCAGCAGGTACCAGCAGATTCCAGTTCTGCACTGCCCCACAAACTGAGACTGAAGACGCAAACCTCACAGTTCAAGGACAATGGAGCCAAATCGGCATCTCCCATCCCAGTGTACTTGTCAGATTGAAAACAAACCCTAGGCCAAAACAACTCAGCAGTTGTGAGTCATAAGTATGATGAACTTTGGCTATTTTCCAGGAAGTTTGTTGTAAATAGTCTCGATAAAAAAAAAGAAAGAAAAAATGTTCCAAAGGTCAAAGTTTCTAAAACAGATTTGAAGAGTCATATTTCCATTATTGTTGAGGAAAGAGGCAGACTTTTAATGATATAATGGCACCTATGCATTTCTGAGTACTTGAAATTTGCCATTTGTTTTTGTACCTTTTAAGAAGACATGAATAGACTACAAGAAGAATAGCATAAGATATTAAGACTTATCCCATTTAGGACTCATCAGCCCTCAACTGAGCATGTGCAACATCCAATGCACTATAATTTGAACTCTTTTAACATGCATTTTAATGTTTTCTTTAACATCTTTTCATGCATTTCGCAAAATAAAACATGAATATAAAGATTCTAAATGGTCTAAAAATTATGTTAACCAGCAAATCAGATACATGCAAAAGAGACCAAAATGATATCTTAAGGAAACTGACCATGTCTCAGAGTTAAAAAGGTGGTGTTGCAGTACTGACAATACTTATTGTTTGTTTAGGTCACTTCCATTATGTGAATCACAGGTGTTTGATATGGTTCTCGTGCCTTAAAAGGTGTTCATGCACAAAGTTATGTCATCTGTGACCAATAAATGTGCTTGCTTGTATTTGAAAAGAAGTGCTGCAAATATTGTGATATTGCTGTCATGAATATTTTGAATATTACTCTACATGTGTACAGTGCCTTCACATAGTATACCAGCTGTAAACTAGCCCTAATATTTTACATGGATATTAACTGACTTTGTCAAGAAGTAGCTGTGTTCCTGTGAACTCTGGAGATTCTTAATAAATTGTACAAGTGTATTTTTTTTTACAATCAGAAACTTACCTCTATAACTGTTAAAGCCAAACCACTTCCATTTTCAGTATTTCAAGGGCTTTCATCATATTTCTGAGCCATTCTAATGAGTCATTGGACTGATTTGAGCTTGTTCATTATAAACTGAAAACTTTTCTGTCATGTTGAACACCACTTATGTTATGAAAGCCTTTTTCAACCTTTCTAGTTATGTTCAGGAATGACTTGTCTATGCTAGCAGTTTAGGAGTTAGCACCCATAGCTGTTGACATGTGAAATGGTGATTAACAATAGCCAATACCTTAAATAGTCGACCTTGTCAACTGACAACTCATTTTCTTTTAGATAAAGCATATATGTTTGAAAGAAAATTACCTTTGATCAAGTTGTCTAAGATTCACATCTCATTTTGTGAATTCTAGAAAAATATAATGAATTAATTCAGAATTTAATCATTAAAAAGGGAGAAATAAGCCAGGAAAACCTACTGCAAGTGTTTTTCTCATCATCAGGTTTTTAGTTAGCTAACTACTACAAAGAAAAAATAATAATACAAATTGTGATTTAGTAGTCTCACTTAGTTTATTTAGCATTTTTATGCTACACAAGTTGGTAAGGTACTGTCTCTCTCTATAATCTCATGATGTTAGTCGTGACTTATGTTTTTTTATTTAGGTTGTTTTTTCCTGATGTTTTTCTTTAATCTTATGCATACTTTTCACTCATCATTTTGTCATGTTGCATTAAGTTTTAAATCTATCAGTTTTTATTTTTCACAATAAAATGCAATTTAAAATATCAGCCTTTTGACTTTATTTCCTGTAAACAACAACATATTTCAGTCACCAGGCCTGAACATGCATAATTGTTAGTGTGTGTAACGTAATACAAATTAAAGCCAAATTTCTATATTTAATTTTTTTTTTTCAATTACAACTAACTTACTTAAATAATTCAAGTTTCAGTGTCTTGTTGAATAGCCTAGTCAATTCTAGCAAATCTGTGAAACTGTGATTGGCTATTTCAGCAGTTGTGTGATTCTCAAATATATTTTTTTCCGTTTTTTTTTAACAAACAGTGACAAGTTTGCTTTCCTGCACCGACAAATGGCAGATAATCATGGAGGATTGAACAGCGTTTAACTTCCATGTGCAAAATATTTTGCATCTAATTTTCAATTCAGGCTATATGTTGACACAAACACCAACTTTAAGAAAAGTGTCTTGTGTGAAAACTTAAGTCATGTTGCATTAAGTTTTAAATCATTCAGTTTTTAATTTTCGCAATAAAATGTGATTTAAAATTAATTGGAAAATCAGCCTTTTGACTTTATTTATTGCAAACAACATTTCAGTCACCAGGCCTGAACCTGAACGCACATGAATATTATTGTTAGCTTGTGTAACCTAAACAAATTAAAGCCACATTTCTATATTCCAGTTTATACCAACTTATTCATCAAACTAATTAAAATGTTCAGCGTTTAGATGTATTTATTGTCAATTCTGTCCAAAACTCTGGCCATGTCAGCAGATGTGTGATAATCAAAGAATATTATATTGAAACGCACCAAAAAGCGAAGCTCGGTTAAACACGTTTAACTTTCATCTGCGAAATATTAAAATAACTATTCGTCTAGTTTTACTTTACTTTTAGGCTATATGAAGAAAAGTGTTTTGTGAACACTTACGGTGGATCGAGGCTCTTAGATAAGTCGGTTTCAGACTACTGAATGATCTGGCATTGATTGTTTGGCGCGATTTTGCATTCACAGTGGTATGAACCTTTATAGGGGTGGTCAAATGTAAATTTATATCACTTATTATTTTAGTTGTTAAAACTATTAGTACGTAAAATACAGATTAGCAAACTATTAATCAGTGTTTAAAAGGTCTGACCACCCATTTTGTTTTGACGTCTTTCGGGCAGTACAAACGTTAATTGGGCGGTCAAAACCTCTTATGAGTCGCCCTCTGTGTTTGTCTCTTGTGCATCGGTCTCTTTCGTCGTGTTATAAGCGCGCGGCGCTCCTTCACAGAGGGGCTGCTGTGGTTCCAGAGTGTGAAAAGGGGGCCTACGTGCAAGTTTCAGCGGCGCGTGGTGGTGGGAAATGGGGAGAGGGGCTTTCTCAGCACTAGTGAGTCATAGTTAATGATAAATCGTGATATCCACAGAAATGCCCGCAAACACAATGAGGAGAGCGAACAACGGCGCGCTTCATACTGTATCCTACCACTAAAAGCAAGTGGGTTATTGACTTGCATAACAAACTTGTACACAAAGTAATCTTGCATAACCATGACATTTTTTATACCTTCGGTTATTTTAGCATTTTTGTTGTTTAGAATTAGATTTGACTGTCACTTGACTGAAACTTCATTTTCAATTAAATCAACCTGAGACGAGGGGAGAGAAGTAGCCTGGTGAAGAAAAATAGGAAGTTAAAGTGTATTGTCTTTGTCTTTTACATCTGTAAACCACATCCTCCAGCACATATTAACTCAATGTTGCAAGTGAATAAGATCTAGTCATGTTTCATGTGCTTATTTTATTTGAAAATCTATTTCAGACTTTTCTTTAAGCAGAACTAAACTTCTGCTTGCAGCAAATGGCGCTAGCATAGAGACTCGATAACAGGCCTTGTGTTCAGTAAAATCATTTATAGTTGTGGATTATGACTTTCAGCAGTCGTGTTTTTTGTGTAGCAACTGTTATACTATATTTATCTTTTACCAATTTCCATAGCAATACTTATATGTTAAAGTTATTTAATGTTAAATCCACTTTTTAGCATTGGTAATTTAGAATTAAATCTGTGAAATAACACAAAAGTACTAGCAGTGGATTATCTAGTTTTGTACCATAAGCAACATTGTTTCTAACTATTAATGTCAATAAAAATCCCTCCACCTTTCCTTTAAATATTTTAGAAATAAAATAACACAAAGTGAAGTTTCATAAACTAATTTCGAGAGGAGCACGTGATATGATTGTGCACCGCTGGCCACTCATCCGTAATCAGTAATAATCCAATCAGAATGATCCTAGCTTAGTATAAATGGATCACTTTCTCCCCATTGCACTATCTTCATTTTGGAAGAATGCTTCTCGCTACAAACGCTCCAGCATTTAAACTACGCTTCAGCATCATTCAACCTTCTGGCATGGAAGAACAAAGAATCAACAACAACAACAACAACAACAACAACAACAACTTCTCCAACCAGAACCCCGCTCTCCCCAAAACTCCAGCAGCTGCCTCGCCAGCAATCGAGCCAGAATCCCCGCAAGAAGCCGGCATATCAACTCTTCCATCTTCTACTTCATCTGCCCCTCACTACACAAGCCACAACTTCGTCTAAACTTATGACGCCGGCGATTCAAGCCACCGGAGAGAAGCCGAACTCACAGATCACCTAACGTTAACAGTCCACTTTCGGTAACGTGCATGCTTTAAAGGGAAGTCTGGCGAGATCAGCGTGAATAGAACGCTTTAAATGAAGAACTCCCCTCTCAGCCTCCCGCTGGTCAGCAGATCCATAACATTCTGACAGCTGAAATAGTTCGAAGGCAAATGACCAGGCAATCTAATCCATAAACATTATTCCATAACACCTTCATTCGTCGATATACATCCATGAAAAGGTGCACTGATATCCAAACCAGCTGCTGGTGAGAGTGGAGCCATACTTTCACGCATAAACATTGTAGCGATCGGATCTACAAAATGGCCGCCGGCCTTTGCACTCTGAACTCTTGACCGTGACTCCAAGGAGCCAATAGCTTAAAGGGGAAGTATCACCATCCAATGAGCTTTCCAAAACTGGAGACGGTCCCGCCTTCTCTCCCGACAAATTCATGAATGGACTGCGTGCAAAGACTTTGATTCCGGCCAAATAATCATGTTGAGATTACAGACATGTTACTTATCATGGATGGAGTAAAGCCATGATAAACATTACATTCACACAGTTCCTATTAAGTGGCAACATCGTTTTTTAAGTTTGATGTAGGCAGTTGATATATTTACATTTTATTAATAATTATATATACATATATAAATAAATAAATAAATAAATAAAAAATAAATAAATAAATAAAAATAAA